AAAAAGGAAAATAATTAGATTTGACGGCTACTGTCATTCAATATTCAATAGCAGTGTCACTATTACTGACAATTCAATTGAAAGCGCGAGTGTTTAGTGCAAAAACAATGACAATCTTTTGAGTATAAAATTTGAGGGGAATGTAAAATACTGTACCAATAGTTTGTATCATTGTTTCATAAAATCAATTATTGTATATTTCATTTTCATTTAAGTTTGAGCACAGCTTTTAAACTCCAATTAGTAGTTAATTAAATCAAATGATGAAAAGGAAAAGTTTTTGACTGTTTTGTGTGTTTGTGTTGTGAATGACATTCAGTTTTTAGGAAATATTTGCTAAACTCAGACAAAAATAAAAAATAAATAAACTAATAATTCAATTAATATAATATAAAAGCTCAGCATTTGATTAGTTTTGTGTTTAGAAAAAGACAAAACTGAGAAAATCTATGAATAACAACAATATTACAATTATAGCCAATTTAGTTAAAAAAGGATTTTGTTTTTGTAAGATTTTTGTAGACATAATTAGTGGTGAAAATATTTTCGGTGCTCTAATAAACTGAACAATTTTTTTTTCTAAATTATATAATAATAATAATTAATAATAATGACGAATATAAAAGTTATGTACAATTATATAATGAAGTAATGATTTTTTCAACATAATGTCCATTCAAATACAGGTTAAGCACAGCAGCAGTTTGTTTATCAGTTTTACTCATTTGTCAGTAATTTTTAGTTCATTTCATTTTGAAACACTATTTTCAATAATTTATATCACGATTTGTAGTATAAGTTATTTTTGTATTTATGATAAAAGTTATACTTTTGCAGCGAATAAATGCAGTCATTGTTTGACAATCAATCAAAACCAGAAATATTATTATCTAATCATTAATTAGAGTTAAGCAGCGAATCAATAGTCAAATGTATGTATAGTTAGCTTTAAAGTCAAGGATTAATTGCCTTTAAAAATATCACAATTTTTTGCTAAATAATTAATAATCAATCGATCAAACAGTCATCAATTGGGTGACACTTTTGAGGTAGAATTAGAGTTGCCTTTCGTTTTGCCTTTTGTTAGATCTTTGGAAGACTTGTTGGCAGAAGTCTTCTTCTTGGAGGCACTCTTTGATTCTGTTTCGTAGTCTGACGTGTCGTTTAGGTCTTTGTCGTCATAATCTCCGTTGAGGTCGTCGTCGTCATCGTTACCCATAAGCGACTTAAGACTGTCGTCGTCTGAGTCGCCGATAGCGGCCGCCGCGGCAGCGCTCGAGGGGTGGACACCAGCGCTCGCTAACAGACTGCTGGCCAGTGATAGCCCTGACGGCGCACTACTGACACTGGAACTGTGTTTCGATGACTTACTCGAAGAGGTTTTGGATTTTAAATGAGAAGACGTCGAGTTTGTCGTATTAGTGGTGAACCCACTCATTGCTGTGGTGTTGAGACCACCCAAACCATTCATAAGTCCCGGTAATCCAAATGGCGAACCACTTAAACCAGAAAATCCACTCAAACTCAAGGGATTGTAGAGAAAGTTTGGCGACGGATATAGGAATGGAAGCGCTCCCGACCCCAGAGCTGATGCCGCAGCCGAAGAGCTTAATAGTCCGCTGGAGTTGAGACCACTTTTACTTTTACTGGAACTACTGCTCGATTTTCCAGAACCTTTAGATTTTTCGTTCGAAGAACTTTCAGAGTCTTTCTTATCTGAGAAAGTAGTTCCGGTCATAGCATTGGAATTGGGTGTAAGTCCCGGCAGATTAAAGCTCGGAAACCCAAACAAGGGATTCGCTAAACCCATTCCCGCCAGACCTCCGAATGGGAAGAATAGCGGCGGAGCACCGGATGAGGAAGTGGTCGAAGTGGTGGTCGATGTGCCCGAAGCTGAGGTCAAATTTGAAGTAGACTTTGATGATGAAGTGGTCGTCATTGATGAGGCAGTGGTTGAACCCGATGTGGGGTCCATAAACATCTTCATGGATGGGAAGCCGGCCGCTAACATACTGGCATTGAATGAGTTCAGGGCTGCGGACGAGGGGTAACTCAGACCACTAGAGGTTGTGGCAGTGTTTCCAAAAGCATTTCCATAACCGCTCGCCAATAGTGAGGCAGCGGTTGAACGTCTGGAGCTACTGCTCGAACTGCTATTATTACTACCGGAGCCCAAACCACCGGAACTGTTGTTTAGAAGATTGTTTGCGAGAGCAGTGAGACTTGAGTTGGAAGTACTACTAGAGCTTCGCTTATCACTGGTTCGAGTTCTGACTCCGATATTAGGTATTGATGTCTGCATTCAATACAAACATTCATTCAAAACATTGAATTCATTGTACAAACAGTCATCACTTACGGGTGTCTTAAAAGTGGCCGCCTTTTCCTTGTTCACGAGTGGACTCCATTTGGGGTCGACATCGAACTTAGGGTTCTTATCGAGCCATTCGGCCAAATGTTTGAGAGGCGGTGCCTTTGATCCGGTGATCTGTTTGATAATAAGCCGATAATAAGTGTTAATATTCCGTAATAACTTTAAACCTATAGTCAATTACTTTTTTGCCGGTCGTCCTGTTAATGACTGAGACGTTCTCCTCTCCCGTCAAGTGCTGTAAATCCAGTTGTGAGGGATCGACACGAGAGCGCCGACTACTCCGACTGCGCCTACTGTCCGGCAGTTCTAATAATTCGGTCTAAAAAGAAAAGCACTCATAAAGACCAGGAGCAAATAATAGTGGATTAATGCATACATTCGCGGGCATCGATGAAATGGAATTCATATTCAGATTAGGATTGAAGACATTGGCGGCCGACGCGGCCACCATTGACGCCATACTCGGGTTCTGGGCTATGAATTCCGGGTGATCTTCGAACAGATTGCGTAAGTTTTGTCTAATGATAGCGACCTGTTCTGCGATAGTCGACGCCTCTGTGGCCTTAGACGGCGGCAGTTTCGATGTGTCCAACGAACTGAAGTGAGCGTTCAATTTGGCGCTCAATAGCGAGTCATTCATTTTGGACGACGCGCTCGAACTCTTGGAGTGAGCGGCCGGTGGGGTCTTGTTTTGGAGGAGCGCTGAATGTTTGTTGAGCTCATCCATGAAATGCGAGGCCTGTCTCTTCTCCAGCGCCGAAAGAGTCGCTTCAAGTTTGTCTACTTTGGGATCGCTTTGCTTCTCTTCCATCATTTTCTTTGCCTGAAGATTGAGAGCCAACGCATCGATTCGCGAACCAATCTTTCGGGAACTCCTCTTCGATGTGGAGTTAGTGACGGGCGGTATAGGCGTGGGATCGGGTGCCGGCATTTTCTTAGTGGGAGAGTGACTGCGAGTTCGTTTGCACGGAACGGAACTCAGGTCTAACACGTCGTGCGGCAACTGTTTGCGAGACTCAGGCGGCGCCACTTTGTGAGCCGGTGCGGGCGGTGTTATTTTGGGCGTCGACTTAAACCTTCCCGTCAGGTCTAACGTACCCAAAGTGGGATTGTTTCGACCGGAAGAGCTCTGGTGAGCGGGTGGCGGACCCTTAGAACTCGACGAGTTGTGGCTCGAAGCCGACTGCTGGACACTGGCCGCCGCCGCTGCCGCCAGAGATGATTGAAGCGTCGACCCCAACAACAGGGAAGCGGTCTTCTCGTCGGTCATGAGTTCATCTCTAATAGCGGACCGAAGGTTACAAAATGGAAGTGAGAATAATGGCGGCAAGAATTGAGACGAATTGTTGGACAGAAGAGACGTTTGTTTCTTGGAATTGGAGGCCAACTGTTGCTGTTGTTGTTGTTCTATAGTCTGCGACAATAGATTTCGCAACTTTTGTCTCTCAGCCTCGACCTCAAAGCGTCTTCTTCTGCGACGTCTTCGACGACTCGCCGCCTCATTAAGTGACGCAGAATTCTCGGCATAAAAGAAGTCCGGAAGCGGTGACAGAGCTTCTCGTCGTGGCGTATGGTCTGGAGTGGGATGTGGTGTCGGCTCCCGACTGGCACTCGACAGACTGCACGGCGATATGGGTCGCGGAGAGCTGTCAGCTGTGGCCACACTCGGAGTCGACTGATGTGGACATGAGATGAGAGAGAAGAATGAATGTCGAAGTGATGGCCACTCATTCTTTTCGACGGTGTGACAGATCTGCTCTAATCTCATCTGAAGGACTCGGTCTTTAGGAAATCGCAAACAACTCTTTGGTTGAGTGATCTGTGGCTGAGGTGTAGATGAAGGAGTGACTGAAACATCTTTTTCCGTCACAAGAGAAGTCGTTTCGGATTCAACTTTTATATCCGAAATGTCTTTTTCAGACTTTTCTTCAGATTTAATCGCCTCTTCTGTCGACAACTTCTGCTCTTCCTCTGCACTGACCTCAGGCTTAACCTCTTTGTCATCAGTTTCTATTGGTTTTTCCTCTTTTTCTTCACACTTCTCGATCTCCTCTTTCTTTTCGGAATCGATTTCCATCTTTTCTTCAGACACTTTCTCATCCCCTAAGTCCTTGACCTCGTCTTCATTCTTAACCTCTTTCTCTTCAGTTTCCGCCTCTTTTTCAGACTCTTCTTTCACTTCTTTAGGAGACACGGGTTTATCGGTTTTCTCTGAAGTTTCCGTTTGACTTAAATCGATATCCATTTTCTCTTCTTTGGATTCAATGTCTTTGTCTAACAGAGCCTTCAAAGCGGTGTCCTTTTCACACTTCTCTTCAGACTCCGATTCAGTTTTGATATTTTCTGTATCCTTTTCAGTTGTTTCTTCAACATTTTCTCTTCTTTGGATTCAATGTCTTTGTCTAACAGAGCCTTCAAAGCGGTGTCCTTTTCACACTTCTCTTCAGACTCCGATTCAGTTTTGATATTTTCTGTATCCTTTTCAGTTGTTTCTTCAACTTTGGTTTCACTCTTTTCGTTCGTTTCTTTTTCATCGGTCTCTTCTTTAACCGTTTCTTTGCTTTTATTTTCATCGGTCTCTTCACTCAAAACCTCAACCTTTTCCTCGGTTTTATCGGTTTCTTCGGGTTTCGTCTCCAAATCTGTCGGCTTATCTTCGGACATGTTTTCAACTTTAACGTCAGTTTTGTCCACTTTTTCGTCATTAATAGTTTTCTCGTCGTTTTCATCAACTGTTTTGTCATTATTTTTGTCCTCAATTGTGTCCGTCTTTTTGTCGTCAGTTTTATCATCGGTTTTGTCTTCGGTTTTGTCTTCGGTTTTTATTTCATCTTTAATTTCATTCAATTCGTTCGCTAATTCAGAATCATTTGCTTTCAATTCGATCTTTTGTTCGCTTGTTTCAGACTTTTTGTCTTCATTTGCGTCAAATTTATTAAAGATATCGACAAAAGACAACTCCGGGTCGTTCACGAGATTAAAATCGAGTCGATTGAGACCGTATTTGGCGGCGCCAATCATCAGGTCTTTGTCATGCTTTCCACAGACCCACCAATCGGGCAAATCCATGGAGTGCTGACATAACTGGAGCCTCTCATCGAGTTCGGGATGAGTCAAAATCTCTTCTCTTATTTTGCTCAACAAATCGATTCGCGCTAAACAACGACTGGCCCTCTCCTCAGAAATGGGATCAACACTTATGGGCAGATTCTCCTCCTCGTCGGTGAGACGCCTTCCGTTAACGCGTTTACACATCGCGTAAAACGCTTTGAAATACTCTGTCAGTGTTTCGTCGAGTTTTCGCTCCAATTTGCCGAACGAACGGAAGCGCGTCCAGTCATAGGAGTCGTCGAGTCTGTTGTATTCGACACCGAATGAAGAAACCACTCGATAAAAGTCGGCCTCTTCTCGACGCGACCATTTCCTGCACAACCAAAACATATTTAGTAATATATTCTTGTAATACACTGAAGAGATAACTCATACTTTTGGGCCAAATCTCTCTTCTTGAGTTCCCTCTCTTTGATGGCCGCTTCAAACCTCTCGAGTCTCTCGAGCCTCTGTTGGTGTCGAGCCCTCTGCGCTAATTTCATTTCCTGTTTCTTGAAGTTTCTCTGATAACTCGTCACAACTCTGCGCAGACGATGATTCATATCAGCCGGAGAAGGGAATGGCAGTAAATTCCCGGACGGATCGTTCAGATCCTGATCTTCTTTTGAGTCCGATTTCTCCATTTTATTCTTAGCCATCGAGTCATTCTCGCTAAGAGGTGTGGCGGGAGTGGCCGGTGTCTCGGGTTCGTCGTCCTCTTCGAGCGTCTTTCCCAAGTCTTCGTCGGAATTCATTTCAGCCAACAGTGCGGCGCCATCGGGTGGACCACAACGTGTTAGAAAACAGAGAGCCGCGTCCTGTCTCATCAGATTGAAGCGATCGTATCCGTGCTTATAGACACCAACGAGTAAAGACTTGTCCGCCTCCACGTCCCACCAGAGAGCCGGTGGGTCGCCATCGGCTACGGGTGAAGGGATGGGAATATCGCGAGCAGTCATACCAGTGAAGACTTGTTCGTGTAGTCCACCGATAATCTCATGTTTCAGATAATATAAAAGTCTTACACGAAGTAGAATTCTATAGACAAACGAATGCAATGAATATATATTAATGAAGTAATAAATTAACACAAAATATAACATAATTTGAACCAAAAGTTGGTCAGAAAATAGCGAAAAGTTGAACTCATGGTAATCTAAATTACTCAGTATTAGCATGGCTACAGTCATCACATGTGGACAGGGGAGTACTAAACCTACCTCGGCCTCGGCCTCGGCCCTGGTTGCGCAATAGCCTTGCAGTGAAACAAACCGACTCAATATCCTACCTAACCCTACCCAATTTGGTTTCACTGCAATGCTAGCTATTGCGCAACCGGGGCTGGGGACGCGGCCGGTTTAGTACATCCCTGTGGACAGTTAGTGCAACAAATGTGTAAACGACTCACTTGTTTGCATGTCGATGCAGATGTTTGCGGTACATGTCGTCCGTTAGCAACACATCGGGATTGTATTTGTCATCCTTAGCCCAGTCCGAGACCTCCAGTTCCTCTCCGACAGTCTTTTTCATTTTCTTATTCTTCCGGCCGCGAGGAACGGGAGCGTTGAGCCCGGAGTGGTTGCGATGAATGCGATGCTCTCCGTCTTCGTTAGGAGTGATTAGATCCCAAATGAAAGCTTTGATCTTTTCGTCGCCCTTATAGTTCTGGAGGGCGTACAGCAACAGAACCCTCGATATGCTCTCGACGTCCAGTCGGGACAACTGTCGTCTAAAGTTGCCGAGAATCAGACACTCGGCCCAACGGCCCCAACCGAACGTAAGCAAACCCTTCTCCACTTTGTAGCACTCGGCTCGCGTCCAGTTCCCCGGACCGAACTCTTGCATATAGTCCTCATCCCTTTCCCGTTCATACCCTCCTCCGCGACCCTTTTTGCCTTTCTTTCCTTTAGGCAAACGACTATTCCTTCCGCCGCGCGTTCGCATCGAAACGGAGTCGTCGTCTTCGTCGCTGGACTCGAGTTCAGACATATCGAGAACGGCGTCGTCGGCACCGAAACGTTTGGTTTGAGTTCGTCGTCGCGGCTCTTGTACTATGAGTTCGTTGCGTCCCTTGAGTTCGTCGACATCGAAGTTGGCTTTCTTGGCCCACTTCTCCCAGAAGTTCGGGTCATCGACTTCGATGTCCGACCGATTGCTTGAGGAGGCAAACGACGCCTTCGAGAACGTCGAGCCCTTGCCTTCGCTCTCAATGATAATAGTTTGGGTCCGTCTCTGGAGAATCTGTTCGATATCCTCTTCACAGAAGGAGTCGCCGGCGTTATCGTCTTCCATGAGTGCTCCGTACGCACCCTTTCTCAGCAGATCTTCGATCTCTTTCTTCGAGAAATCTTTGTTATCTACATTTCCGGCTTTCGATGAATTCATGGACTGGAGTACTGCCCGATCCAAACCCAACTTAAGGCTCGCCTTATCAAACATTTCTCTCTCATAAGTGTTTCGACAGATAAGTCGATAGACTTTGACGGCCTTCGACTGACCGATTCGGTGACACCGGGCCTGTGCCTGGAGATCGTTCTGTGGGTTCCAATCGGAGTCAAATATGATGACAGTATCGGCTGCTGTTAGGTTAATGCCGAGACCACCCGCTCGGGTGCACAACAGAAACACGAATCGATCGGAATCTGGTTTACAGAACCTATCGATGGCCGCCTGCCGTAGGTTTCCTCGCACTCTGCCGTCAATTCTCTCGTATGGGTAGCGCTTCTGAACCATATAGTCCTCGAGAATGTCTAAACAGCGCACCATTTGTGAGAATATAAGCACTCGATGGCCATTGTCTTTGAGTCGTGGCAACAGTTTGTCGATGAGAACGAGTTTACCGGACGCGCTGACAATGGCGTTAACTGTGGGCTCGCTCTCGCTTTTGTGTTGTTCGCGGAATTCGTGTATTATCTGCTCTTCGGCGCCGTTTATTAAGAAGGGATGAATGCAGCACTTCCTCAGCTCCATCATTGTGTTCATAAGGTTAGGCATATTAGCATAGGTTCCGCCTTTACTCAAGAATTGGAAATTCCTCTCAAGTATAGCCCTGTAGTACTTCTTCTGAATATTAGTCAATTCGACCTAAAATATCAAATTTGTATTCAGAATGGCAATCATTACGCCAATCTTAAAACCACACAAACCTCAACAATAGTTTCTTCTTTTGGGGCCAAACTTTTCTCCACGTCTTCCTTCAGTCGCCTCAACATCATTGGCTTAAGAATGGCTTTCAGTTTGTCTACCTGTGCCTCAGTCTTAAGGTCTCCAAACTCTAACATAAAGCTCTCATTGGACGTGAATTGTGTCGGTTCCAGAAAATTAAGTAAACTAAACAACTCTTCGACGTTGTTCTGCAGCGGAGTTCCCGTCAATAGGACCCTGTGCTCGACGTCTAAGAGTCGCAAACCCTCTAATAGTTTGCAATTTCTATTCTTAAGTCTATGGGCTTCGTCTATAATACAGTCTCTCCAATGGATTTCTCGTAATTCTAAACAATCGGTTAATACTATTTCGAAAGTAGTGATCATTACTTGGAATTTGAATATTCCGGGAATTCTCTCATTTTTGTCGTTCTTATAATACATTTCGTATTCCTGAAGCATATTACGACTGGCAGAGCTAACGGTGCAAACATTGGACAGTATTAGTAAGTGATTGGATTGAGGTTTAAGAATAGATTAATGGAAACAATGAATACCTTCCGTGATATGTAATGACATTGAGATCAGTCCACGTTTCAAACTCTCGCTGCCAATTGCCAATCGTTGACAGCGGAGCTATTATTAGGAAAGGACCGGGAATTCCATAATTGGTTATTTCATTGACAAAAGCTAGCGATTGAATGGTTTTTCCTAAACCCATCTCATCCGCTAAGATACAGTTTTGACTAAACAAATAAAACAAATAATTAGACAATCGATTAAAACAATGCTCGATCACTGGACTCACTTGTTATGCCAACAAAAGCTCAGCCAATTAAGGCCTTCCAATTGGTATTCCCTGAGAGTATTGCCCGCCTTATAGACCGGCGACTCCTCGATCTTCTTCCAGTCGGCGGGTTTTGGTCTCCTCTTTGGTTTCCATTCATTCTTTGGCGGAGGCTTTCGGAACTTATAGAAATTTTCGATTTTTATGGGATCCAAATCGTCCTCCAGTTCCCACGTGCTGTCCTCATAGGCCAGAGCTCTCCACTTCACCAGATAGTGCTTCACTTTTCTGGTCTGAAGGGGCACTTCTGGCTTCTCCTCTACCGCTTCAATCTCTTTATCAGTTTGACTCACTTTAACATCACTTTCACTACTCTTTGCCTCGTCTTGAGTTTCGAGTTTTTCAATAATTTCGTCAATTTTAATAACACTTTCTTGAGTCGACTCGTCTTCAGTTTTGTCATCACTTTTATCTTCTGACGAATCTATGGACTTACTCTCAGCGATAGGCTTTTCGACTGAATCTTTATTTTCATGATTATCACTGATTTCTGGTTCAGTCTTCTCACTATCGTTTGGCACAATTGAAGACTCAGTCGAATTGGGTTCAGTTTTATCGGTTTCTATTGTCTCAATGGTTTCAATGGTTTGCGAATCGTTTGTTTGCGATTCTGTTTCGGTTTCGTCTTTTGATTCTTTTGTTTCCTCTTTTTCGGGAAGTATTTCAATAATCTCTTCGATTTCATTGACGTCAAGAATTCGGTCGACTTCTATGTAATCGGGATTATATGGCTCTTCGTCTAAGAAGTCAAACATATTTAAAGTGTCTTTCTTTTGTCGAAATCGTTTAATCTTTTGTCCGATACGTCGGTCGCCTTTTTCCAGCTCTTCCTCTGTTTTCCATTCGCAGTGAAAATACGATAAATTCTTGTATTTGACATAAAACTCTTCCACTTCTATAGTCGAGGGCTTTGGAGTGGGATCTGCCAACTCATGGGCGTCGTACTCCAGTTCCCTCGTTCCCGTTCTAGTGGTCATTATCTTCTCGACAACCATTGTGTCCTCATTTATATTTGTGACAACACTTAATACGTCTCCACCACTAATAGGTTTACCGTTGGAGTCGAGGAGTGGTGTTAAGACACCATTCGAGTCCTTTTTATGGTCGAGAATGTTGTCGTCGTCCGACAGATCCAACTCGATTTCATCCGTATATTTCTGTCGTTTCGTATTTCTAGCCGAACGCCGCTTACCGGTATCCGCGTCATCGGGAGACGGAGGGGGAGTCCTCTCGAGGTCCGAGTGGTCGGGCGATGCCGAACCCAAACGTCTCTTCTTTTTGTTTTTACTGAATTTGAGCGCAAGTTTTGGTAATTTCTTTTTCGGGGATCTGTTCTTAATTCTGGGCTTTGCCTTCGAGCTCGAGCTTCGCTTTGCCTTCTCTTTTTTGGTCGACCCCTTCCCAGTGCTCGACTCCATAGCACTGGAGTCGCATTGAGACGATTCCTGAGTGGCGTCGTCTATATCGGTTTGCGGCGCAATCACCGAATCGTTTCCCTCTTCAGACGGAATCACTTCTTTGGGTTCCGGCTCTTCGGTGTCGCTCTTCTTCTTACGCTTTTTTGCTTTCTTAGGTTTCGGTGGTTTCGACTCACTCTCGGTGTTCGTCTCATTCAACTCACTGTTGATGTCGACCTCGGATTCTGTCGCCTCTTTCTTGGGTTTCCTTTTCTTCGGCTTCTTTTGTTTCGGTGCCTTCAATGGCGTCGACGCCAACTGTTCGTCAGCGAACTCATACGAATCCATTTTTGGTTCCGGTATCACATCGTCGGTAATTGGTGGCGGACAGGGAGATACCTGTCGGGGAGGTGTACTGAACATATCGCCATCCGAAGGGACGGCTACTGATAGACTCGTCTCGTCCTCCGTAGGCATCGACACTAAAGTGGTTTCGTTTAACCCATTGTTTTCACTGATTGTCGTTTGGTCTAAAAAATTCTCTTCGTATAGATTTTGTTCGGATTCTAACGGCTTTTCAATGATTGGCGGAATCGGTTGTTCCGTAGGTATGGGCGTAGGTATGGGCGGAGGAACGGGAGGCGTAAAGGTGTGAGACGGGAGCGAAGGGACCGGAGATGGAACCGGCGTCGTCTCGCTTTGTGGCTGCGGCTGAAGGGGAGTTGGAATCGACTGCTGTGTGATTGGCATCGGTTGTTGACAATGATTTGTTTGCGGCGGTTGTTGTGGGGGCGGAGGGGGAGACTGAGGCGGCGGTTGTGGGGGCGCCTGTTGTGGTGGCGGCGGCTGTTGCTGTTGAGGCGCCGGCTGTGGAACGCTTATAGGCATTGAGGGAATCGGTTGGGATAGCTGTGAATTTATTGGCGGCGGCTGTGAGGGAGGCATTGGCTGGCCGTACATCTCATGAGCGTATAAATCCATGTTTTCCGCTGGCATTCCATAACTGGGATCGTATTCTGGGGGCATCATAGGAGGCATGGGTGGCATTCTGTCCCCCATATTATTATTATTCTTTCCGCGACCCCTTCCACGTCCCGACCCTCTGGGAGCACGTGGTTGTCGGGGTTTCCTCTCCTTTTTGGGTTCATTGGGATCTTTTTTGGGTCGACCCTTTCCTTTCCGTTTTGTCGGCGGTTCCCCAAAACTGTCGTCAAAATTGGCGGAATAGGGGTCTATTGGGCCGTAGTCTCCAGCACTGTCTCTATGATAGTCTCCCATCTGTGGCGGAACCATACTATCCATGCCATAGCTGTCGTACATCATGGAGTCGTGGTCTCCGTATGGGCCGGCATTCATACCGGAGGACTGAGACATATCTGAATTCATATCGTAGTTGAGACCAACCGATGGGTCGTAACTGTTCTGGTAATTAGCCATTTGTGGCTGAGGTGGGTATGACTGATGGACTGATTGCTGGTGCATCATCTGGTGGTAGGGATGATGCGATTGATGAGGAACTCCGGGTCCCATCATTTGTGGCGGTGGTTGAGCCGCCGATTGAGAGTTGGATAGTCTATCGGATTGCGATTGATTTGGTTGTGAGTTTGGCTGCAAATCGTTTGCTGACAGAGGCCTCGGCGTCGAGGCGTTTGGACTTTTGATTGAGTCGAACATATGTGTCGGTGACGCCATTGGGGCGCCGGGTGTCTGGTTTTGAGATTGTTGTGACTGCTGAGTATCGTTTTGAGCTCCTTGTGCTCCCTGTACTGCTTGTAACTGCTGTTTGTGCTGCGCTTTTATTACTGACGAATCAAATGAAGCACCGGTAGAGCCGGCGCTTTGCGAATAACCACTTTGTAGTGGTTGTGATGAAGAGGACGATGAAGACGATGGAGGCGTAGAGTTAGTCGAAGAAGAAGTGGAACGACTGACAAAAGATTGAGAAAAGTTCGAGTCGGCGGAGGCGCCGGCGTTTAGTTCACTGCCGTATGAATTGTATTGTCCACTAATGCCACTGTTGGGAGGCATCGGAACATCAGATTTATTAACATTAGGTGACGAAGAGTTGGAGGCGACTGTCGGTGAGCTTTGATGAGTCGATGGTTGGCTCGACGGCTGACCTATGGATGTGAGCGTCGACTGTGGCTGTAAGGGAATGCCACCACTGACTCCACCCATTGAATGAGTATTTGTTATCGAAGTGGCCGCAGAACTACTCGATGAGACAGCGACTGGTGGGGCGATTGGGTTGGGCTGAGGGCCCGTCCAGTGCGAGTTGTTTTGCTGGTACTGATGGTATGGATACTGGGATTTGTTTGCCGCCATCGAAGCCGACGATGGGTAATGAGAATACATTGCCTGCGATGCTTGTGGTGATAGGGGTGCGGCTCCGGTGGATGGCGTGTTGGGACCGACAGATCCGTAATAAGAGGACGTGGAGGACGATGACGAGGCGTTTGTCGAGACCGGTATCGATGATTTGGATGAGTTGGTGACCCCTCCCAAGTGAGGCAAAACCATTTGTTCCAATTGTTGTAAACTCGAAGGCGTTGATGGAACCGATGAGCCGGGAGACAAACCCTGTCCCGGACTGGATAAGTGATTAGCGCCGGGACTAATGGGGAAACTCGACTGATGTGACGCCTGCTGTGCGGCCGAAGTGGACGAGCGGTCCGGTGTGTGAGACGATGGAGGCATTGGTGAACCCGCCGGCGGTGTTGTCGTGGGCCGTCTCGGAGATAGTGATGACAGCTGTGGTCCAGCACTCGTTGGAAAGCCGGGTCTAAATTGTGGACTATTAGGACCCGCGGGTCCTGTTTGTGATAATGGATATGGAGATAGACGTGATTGGGCTGAAGAGTCACCATAACTGCCCGCCTGTGGATAACCGGAATACTGTTGCGGATACCTTGGGATCGATGCGCCCGTACTTTGGGACTGATTTGGTTGTGACGTCGGCTGTGATTGAAGTGAAGACGTGTTATAACCGATATATTGCTGTCGCGGAACTGAACCACTGATGGCGGAGTGGGAGCCCCTCGAGGGTGCCGATTGTGGCACTTGTGAGCCGGAATTGGAGCTGTAGGGGCCTTGAGATGGTGTCGGATAAGGCAATGTCGAGCTTTCACTAGGAATGTGAGTCGTCATTGACTGCGATTGAGTCGGCCCTCCAGTGGACGAGTAGTACTGTCTCTGCTGATCGTTGGCATGCATTGCACTGTACTCGCTATGACCCACATATTGGCTCTGACCAGCTCTCGGGCCGTGCATTGAACCGGTCGTCGAGTGCGACACGCCTTGCGATGGACCGCTTGTCCCCGAATTGGGATATCCAGGATATGACGAGCTTTGCTGCATATGTGGCACTCCCTGACCCGACCACATGTCACTACTGGGCGTAGAGTGCGAGTGGTAACCACTTTGTGTCGGTCCCGATGTATACGACGAGCTATAATGTGATGGCATTCCGTGGAGTGGACCGGTTGGCTGTCGAGATGGTGTCATTCCCGGCGCATGCATTCTCTGTCCGGCATACTGTCCCATAAGATTTTGTTGGCCGTAAGCACTGGGCATCGGGGGTTGTGTGGGTTGACTCATATGTGATTGACTCATAGCCGAGTTGTAGTCAGCCATCCCGTGCTGCACATACCGAGGATCTGTCGGGTATTGTCCCCTCACACCAATCCCTTGGACACCAGTACCACCCGTTCCATAATTAGGGTATTGACTATGAAGTTTATGGCTCATTAAGGGGTCATTGGTTTGCGGATATGCAGCTCTTGTAGCGTGTTGTGATTGCAACTGATGGTAGGCCTGCGCTGAGCTCTGTCCTGACAAACCGCCCAACACTGCAGATGACGGCATATTACTGCCCCCGACAGGCAATCCCGATGGTTGTGGTTGTCCCGCCTGTCCTGTTGGCTGACCTGAAGCGTTGCCGTAACCGGAATGGTATCCTAGAAATGGCAAAACGTTTAGTTTATGAGTCAAACAAATGACAACAAAAGCGTAAAACAAGTGTTTGAAGAGTACTGACCGAACGCATCGCCGATTAGCTGGTAGTCTGCCATTCCTGCGAGATCTGAGGTATCCATATATCACTTGCTAACACTTCCTCCACAACATCGCTATTTTGTATTAATTTATTATCTCAATAGTGATAACACTTATTATTAGATAATTATGATTAATATCACAAATATTCATATATTTTCTTCAATTCAAAACTTTCGCCAAATATTATGAGAAGCGGTCGACACTTATTGTGCTCCTAATAACACAATAGTTTCACTTGAAATGCATTGACATTTATGTACAAATAGTCATAATCCGAATGAAACACATAATTGTCGATAAAATGCAATTTAAATATTCCTTTGATTAATTAAATTGTCGTTTAATATACTTATTATTATTATTATTAATGTTGTTATTAAATAAATTAAATAAAACTCAATATAAAAGGTTTCATCCAAACTATTCTCTCGTACTTTTAAATCCAGTAATTGTTTTCAATTTACTTTCAATTTAATTGAAATATATTTCGATTCCATATTTGACACGATTTCTAAATATATGTCTGCAATAAATAAATAAAAAAAGACATTTAATATCATTAAAATGTATTGAATGCATAATATTAGACAATACTGTAGTTGATATGAAATGTGAGAAATGTTATCAACAAATGAAAGACAATATCAGTGTTTCTCTCATACGTACAACAAATGCCAATCAATATAATGAGAAAATAAGGTATTGTTTGGCGTATAATTGGACACTAAAATAGCTACAAATATCAACACATTGGACACACAATTGTCTCATACATGACAAGAAATATGTGCACACATTGCCAGTGATAGCAGAGGTATATCTGGTGGTGAGGAGTGTCTATAAAAATCCCTGATCTGTGATCAACTCATCTCATAGAGTATTATCCAATTCAAGGCCAACTCAATGCTGCTATAGTTTGCAAATAGAGGTTTGTCAACAGCTTTTATACAGTATTTAAAAGAAAGCAATTGTGGTCATTGACATATCCATGCATTGTAGAGATTGCCGCAAGCCATATTATATCACTACCACCAGCACTACCACCAGTGCCACCACCGCTGCAACCTATGCACAAAACCGGTGCCAAACCGTATCCCAAACACAACAAACACTCCAACACTGCCGACAAATCCCTGACAACACTTCTAACACCAATTCTGGCGGCACTCACGAGGAATGTCTTCACTACACATCACATTTGTGCCCAACAAGTCACTTGTCATTACTCTTATGTCAAATCACAATCAATTGTATTCGTGTCCACAAACTATTTCACAAAAACTATATTAAGTTTCAATTATGATAATCAATGGGTAATCAAAATCATTTACAGTGACTGTAATTTTGTATCTAATGACACAAATCGTCATAATAAATGCATTTAATTATTTGTTGGCAGAAGTTATTCACTTAAAGATATCTCGATATCTCTTGCTATCAATATGTGAGGCAAACCCAAACACCAATGATATTGTATTTTAGTCAAGAGTCTAATAACAAACTTGTATTTTAGTTATAATAACAGACATTAGAGGCTTAGCTATGAATTTAGTGAAAAACCGGCTAATTTTCAACACATACTCTCCATTCAAACAATCAATGAATCGATAATTTCAACGATTCAAACTTTAAAATTTGTAACCAGGTTCATTTTACAATTAATTTTCTACAAATATACCAAATAAATAGATGCGATAAATTAAATATAGATAAATAATAAGACAAATTTAATGTATTTTGAAATTAATGTCAAAATGAGTGAAAAAGTATGTGAAAAGTGTGTTGAGTAGGCATTGGAGGCAATAATTAAATAATTGTTTCATTAGACAAATGGTATAAAAATCAATAAAATAATGTCATATCATATCAGCTCTTAAGAAGATTCACTCATTTGTGGCCACAAAACACATTCAATGCATTCAATAAATACAAATAATTTTGACGACAATTATATTGATATGAATTGCGAGACTAGAGCTATGCTAACATCCAATGCAAACACCATATCATATGTATTGAAGATTTTGATTTAATTTTGATATCAATTTCACTAATATATGAATAAATGATAAAATCATTCAAAATATATTCACTGCAAGTGGAGAGTGCAAACACTGGCGAGGAATGGCAGGCATTAATGGATCCGTGCCATGCATTGGTGGACACATTCATGGGATCATCGATTTAAAAGTCACCGAAAGTGTGGACACATGACATGACTGTGCGGTGGACTGAATGAGTGAATGGTGCGATAATGGCATCATTTGGTGATAATGGCATCAATTGGTAATGGATTGGATGGTTAGGATGACAGTGCTCGTGGTGGCACTGGCGCCCGATGGACAACAACACAAGTCTTGAGCACATACCTCACACACAGACATAGACACAGACAGACACATACAGTGGTGGCACTGTACGGCCTTAATGCTGGGTCTATGGCAATGGTGGTGACTGGCAATGGATGGTATATATTGGGTAATTGACAAGACTTACCGCCGATAGTGTATCACATGGATGGTGGTGAGGGTGGTGTGGAAGTGGTCGGTGGTGTTGAGCACACGGATGTCAATGTGGACAATGGGTACGAGAGTTGCTCTTTGAACGCCATTTTAGCATTACTTACACTACTATTACTGCAAACTCTATACAAGACTACCAGTGCTTGTGTTGTGTGTAATGAAAGCCTAAAGCAAAGCAAAGCAACACTCAGTCAAACACTCACAACATTCACAATACTATTCCAATGCTCTCCCAATAGTACTCTCCCATCACTCCCCGCACTCTCCA